TATAATGCTTCTTTGTGGCTGCTCTTCCTAGTGCATTTCAGCAAGGCATAGTCTTTTTCTGTAGATATGATTCCCTGTCTTGCTTTTAAAATGATTTAAAATTAGGGCCTGATTCCATCGTTGCAGCCTCCTCTTGCTTTTCCTGCTTGAGAGCCACTAGCCCTGTCATGTTTTGCTGGCGAAGAAGATGGATGATCCTCCAGGATGGTCTGAATTAAGGGAGCTGTTGGGAGCTGAAACAGTCAGCCTAGTGTTAGGAAGAAATCTGGGTGGGGAGGGAGGGACGGGTAAATCCTTCTTTCCTTACCCAGGGCGGGGAGCAGTTGCAGAGCTCATCAGTAGCCACTGCTCTGCCTTTACACATCTAATCCTTTTCCCATCACAGAGGAGCAAAGAGCAAGAGGCATCTCTGTGGTAATAGTGCATCTGGGTTTGCTGCTGACACATCCAGCTCTTCTTCCTCCTCCATCGCCCAGTGAGGTGGTAGAGCTGTGCCATGTCCCTGAGGCACAGCCCATGCGTGGCGACACTCACATTTGCTTCCTCCACTGTCACTCGGACAAAAAGAACCATTTATGCTCCTGATGACCTTGGTTGTGCCGATTCTTTGCCTTGGATTAGTTGTGGATGCAGGGAATTCTCTTTCTCCTCAACAATGAATTCCTGTAACATGCAGCGAAAGAAGAATGGCACCTGCAGAGAGGGGTTATGACAGCGCAGGGCAGCGCAAGGAGTTGGCCAAAAGGGATCATTCACATAGCTTAACTTTTGGCACTCTGCTAGCTGTTAGCAATGGGCTGTGAAAACTTTACAGTTGTAGTATAGACAGTGCTAAATAATTTAAACTGCAACTTTCAGGGGAAAAAAAAAAAAAACTTTAAAATCCATTGCTTTTTGAGATTAGCTGTCATATTGACATTTTTGGACTCCACCTTTACTTTGTGGTACCGCATGTTATGTGGAATGCTGTGCTGAGACACTGGACTGCTGCTGGCAGAAACTGCAACCATGTTTGGAGAAGATAATTCTGATTAGCACAGTTAAAAACTCAGCCGTTATTGACTTAAGTTATCCAAATGTTCTTACTCACTAGTCCAGAGAAAAATTATTTTCTCAGTGTTAAGAAACATGATGGAATTAGTCAACAATGTGTGTTCCAGCAATAAATATTTGCATATAGGCTGGTACAGCAAAGATAATTTTATTTTATTTTTTTCCCAGCAGCTAGCTGTGCCTCAGCAGTGACTTGAAGCATTGCCAAGTCATGAAAGTCGAGGCCAAGCCCTTGTTAAAAAACAAGCTAGTGAGGAGGACCTTTGGATGCCACTGTGCAAAGGATACTGTTTTAACTGAACAGATGTTCTCAGTCCAAGGCTGATACTCTTGGAAGAGGTGCCAGGCGACAAAAATAGTTGTATTTTCTAGGGCAGATGGAAAAGAATGCCATGTGTTTCAAGCTGGTATTTTATTTTGTAGTTGTGGAGGATTCAAGTTGAGGACTTGGAGTTGTGGGTGGCTTTCTGTATATAAGTCCTAAAAGTGTGTCTTGCTGTCACTGTTTGGTTTGAGGTCCTTAGCAGACAAAATACTCAAATGTAAGTGGACCACCTGTGTGTTACCACACCATTCAAAGCAGCTAGAAAGCTGTTTGGAGTAGTCAACACCATGTGCTCATAAATAAGTGAAACGTCTTCTTATTCTGGGAAGTGCTAAGAAGCATTTTTAGCATATTCTTTGTTTAAAAAAAAAATTGGCTGAAATGTTATATCAGAAAAAATACTTGTTGTTTTCATCTGTTTAGAGTGAGAAATTGAAGCACACATTTATAATACATAATAGTATTCTGTTTGTTGTTACATAGGTATATACTCCATAAGATTAGATATGTTTCAGAACCGAAAGCATCTTGTTCAGTCAGCTAAGGAGGCCTTATGTATTATTTTTTTTAAAAAAAAACCCCACACTATTGTTAGCATCTAATTGACAAGATATTACACTGCTCTTAACTTTTCAAAACTCAGTACCTTGCTTTTCAACAGCCTTAATATTTAATTGACTACTTAAATAAGTCACTTATTGTACCAAAGTTGAAGGGTTTATTTCTAATTTTAGTGCAAACCATTGAGTTTGCAAAGGTGCTAGATTGAAGTAAAGGGCTTGCTTTGAAGCATTTTGGTAGAGAAACCAGTGGTGGCTTCCAGAATGTTTTCAATTAAGATGGGTTCATATTTAAATAGTTGTCTTTAGTATCTCAATTTTTATAGTTCAGTCTTAAAGACAAAATTTACCTTGCTGAATAAATGTGTTGATTTGGCTTTATAAAGCCATATATTTCCTGTTTGTCATGTCAAAGCCTTGTGGGTTGTTGCTTTTGGGTAGAGATGGAATTTCTGGTTCTAAAAAGTAAGGTTCTAATCCCAACTGCATTAAGGACTGTTTCTTTCTCTTTTTTTTGACTGTAGCATGATGGTGTTCAGGTGGATATAGAAAAGCATTCTTCAGCACTCCAGTGGGAGAAGCAAAGGAAAAAATTTCATGACACAAAGTACAGTGATAGTTCCTGATGTTGTCACTTTACGCTGCATGACATGGCATGTGTGATTAAGAGAGACTTTCACTGAAATAGTTTTGTGCTGGTGCCTGTTAGTTCGGCCGGTCATGTGGATGACTGTAATACAGAACAATATGTGACAATCCTAAACTATTCTGTAAGCACAAAGATGCCTTTGAAGTTATCTGGTCTGGGCTGAGCAACCCAGGCAAAATTAATTTGAGATACATTGATCCTTAAGGACTCTGCACATGTATTACTTACAGGAAGAATCATGACTTGGTATCTTTCCTAAGTTTTATTAGACTGCTGCCCAAACCAAAAAAAGCCAAGGTGATATCACCAATTGAGGATTTTTTAATGCTAATATTGATTATTGTGCATGAAAAATGAAGCAAGACAACTGTTAAATTGATCACAAATGTTAAATGGATGTTAGATCTTAATCCAAGCAGCACTTAGCTTTGCTATTCCTTGCATCCCAGTAGAGTGCCATCTTTAACATAACTTCCTTGAACAAGCATAGGTTTTAATGGACTGACTTACTAGAAATTGCAGATGTGACAGATTTTATTCCGTCAAAACTTTGAAACCGAGAATATGCTTCAGTAAGCACTTCTTTAGGCACAACAATTGAGAGAATTGTCAAATGTTTTCTCAGATTTTTTTTATTGCTTGTGGGATGTAATCATGAATGAGCATGGGATAAGAAATGTAAGGGTAGTCATAAATCAGTGAACCATTTTAAGAGAAAATTTTATTTTAATATTATCTAATATCTTATTTTTTCCTCAAAAAGCACCATTTATCCAGTCAATATGGCCTTTTCAATAAAGGTACAATACCTGATGTTGTCCAGCAAGGAACATAGTCAGCATTTCAGTGTGTCTTTGGCCAGAAGTTGTCATGAAGTATTTAATGTGTAGAATTGCTGATGTTTTTTTTAAAAAACATCATAACTATTTTTACTATTGGAGCTCTCCAGTTTGTTAAGCAAAGGAAATATTCCCTGAAAGCAGATGAATTGGACTTGGGGGCTCTGTGTGTGTGTGTGTGTGTGTGACAAGTCTTGAGAGATTTTAGAACTAGTAAGTCTTGTCATCTTATATCTAGTTTTGAGTTATAGATTAGAAGAGGGAAGTTTCTGTCAGTTTTATCAATGGGCAAGCTAGGGATTGAGCTGAACTAGACTGAATGAGGAAGAAATACTTTTTCAGCTTACAGAAGAGACCACAGCTGTCAGGAGTTGGTTCATGACTTCAGCGCGTCATGGTATGGGGGTTTAGGCAATGAATTCTCTCCAGTGTTACAATTCACGGTAAAGCTTTGACCAGAAGGATGGACTGCTTGACAATTGTTTACGTAATTTTAATTGTTGATGATATGTCTTGGTCTTTATACAGTTTATTGTAATTTCAAATTAAATGTAAAACATTTTAGAGCAATACAAGTAAAAATACCTTAGAATGTATTTAAATTAAAAAAAAAAAAAAAAAGTTAGCTGTAGTTTCACGTTTTTTCGGCCTTCTGCTCTTTTCCGAAAATGTAAAAAGGTGACATAGGCCAAGATGCCTCCCATATAATAAAAAGAGAAATATTTTTTTTTAAGTGATTAAAAAAAAAACTGGTGGAAGAATAGCTGATATGTCATGGCAGCTGGTGCTGGGATCCCTCAGTCTGATCACAGAAGTTCTAACTTAAACTTTCTCTTATGTGAATTCCTGATATAAATATTTGTAATACTTACATTCTGAGTATAAAAATTTTCTTGATTTAACGTTCCAGTTAGTTGTTTACTTTTCTTCCCAACCATAATATTGTTGGTTTATATTCAGTTCAACTGTTGTCCTCTGTTGTGAGACACATAGCCTGGCTTTTGTGAAGATGAATGGAAAGCCTGAAACCTGTTACTTGTGAAACTCTTCGTTCTTGGAAACAGTTAGAATTTAACCAGAACTATATTCCCGTATTCTGTATCTTAAATGCACGAACGTCTAGAGGAATTCATCTTTCTCTGTATGCTAAAGTTACACGTGGGAATTGAACGAGTGAATGCTAACTGTTACCTGCAGTTATCAGCAGGTCTAAAGCTATCAAGCTATCTATCTCATTTGTAGTGCTACAAGAATTGCAGCAGGGTATGAACATTTTGTGGTATTTGTCTTGATTATGTACTTAAATTCTAAATGAGCTTTTCATCTCAAACTGCTTTCAGAGCTATGATTTCTTTAGTAGAGAAATAATAAAATGTTTTATATCACTGACACTGAAGTTTGTTTCAAGAAACTTGTTTATAAATCCAATTGCTTTATATAAAGCAAATCTGAATTAGACTGAAAATCAACTGTTAGGTTTCTGAAACAACAAACAACTTTGTAAATGTCTTAATATCTAGGAAATTATTAACCTTTGCTGTTTTGGAGGTTAACTCTACGATTATTTTGTGCAGGTTCCAACTGGAACATCTCGTCAAAGTTACCCAGCTACCAGCTATCAGGACTTTGGCAACTGGGAATCTCTAATGAAAATTAAAGAGGGGCTGCTAAGACAGAAAGAGATTGTGATCGATCGGTGAGTAACCTGCTCCAGCTGAATCGTTTAAATTAGATGATGTAAAAGCTATAATTTAGGAACTGACTTTCAGGAATGCTGCTTACTCAGTAAAGTTGTTAGGTTCTAGTCCAGCAAATATTTATGCACCAATATGTGAGAGCTAATCTTTGCTAGGAGAGAAGACTGACTGCTGGCTAAAAGCCTTTTACAGAGCTGGAAATTTACTTAGGGGTTTAATGCCTCTGCGATGGAAAAAGGAGAGTGAGATCAACAGCCAGTTCTGCTCTCAGCTTCCCCAGTTTAGCTTCTTACCCGTCTGGGAGTTTGTATCAGACATCTTTCTGCTTGTACAGGTCTTGGAAGAGACTTGCAAGATGAACATTGGTAAACTGCATTGCCCTGATTTTCTTTTCCATGACCAGTATAGAAATGCAATATATTTGAAACCAGTTGATAAAGCTTCAAGAAATTGGCCTTTGCAGTAACATGCAGTGGTAAAATCCTATTCAAACGCCCATACAAATTATTCAGATAATAAAACATTAAATCCAGGATTTGTATGTCAGTAAAAACATCACTTTGTATTAAAATTGCTATCAATCTGAAGTGGGCTTTGGCAGCAAATCACTGCTGTTAAGTTTCTAGTGTATCTAAAGTAATTTCTGGTGTTCTTGATGTGTGGATAAAATGAAGCCTTAATGAGGAAAATGTGCTTTTAATAAAGGGCTTGAGCTTAATGAACCTTACACTAAATTAGCAGATGTCATCAGGAGCTGCAGAGTTTGGCCGTAGGACATTTAAGAAGGGCATTTTTATATTTGACACAATTATCATTTGGCTTAGTCTGTGTTTTAATAATAAACTCTTGGCTCGTGGCTACAAGAGGAGTGGTTGTTCTGTCTTCAAATAGTTGTGCCCTCTTATTGATAGTTTGCTCCACAGCATGAGGAGAATTACATAAAGCAGGTGTGTGTCGATCACAGGCATGCCAGACATTCATTATGAATGTTTTTATATTTAATCTAGAAGTTCCTCCCTTGTAATGGGTGGAGATAGACAACTTGGACATAATTTACTTTGGGACCAGTAGAATTATGCTTGTGAAAGATCTATTCTTTCCTCTATTGCAACAGAGCAAGGAATTGCAGTGGTTTAAGGTGTTTCTGTCCCCTAGTGATGTGGCCCGTACCTCTCTCTGCTGGTGTTGTAGTGATGAAATTTGGCATCAGCTTCCCCAGTTTGATGTGGCATATTAGCGTGTGTTTCCCTGCCTCTGCAGCTGAAGATGGTACACAAAGTTACGAGCTTCAGGGGCTGAGGCATGGACACACCATCCCGCTCTGCCAGCGTTCCTGGAGAAGTGGTGATCTCCCAAGGGGATAAGCAGTTAAAATGAAAACATCCTCAACTGTTGCTTAGATCTCCTCTGTCAGAGCCTTTCGATCAGTTCCTTAAAGGATGTCTAAATTACGGTGGTTTTTTCAGGCTTGCTGTATCAGTAGTAATGTTGTATAACCTGCAGCCTGCCTTTCACGGCTCAGGCTGTCAGCAGCATTTCTAAGTACATTGCCCATGATGGCTAGGGGTGGTCTTTGGTGCCTCTGCTAAGCGTATCATCCTCTGCACTCTACGTGAAAGCTTGTTATACAATGGCAGCTAAAAAGGCAGTTCACATTATTCTTCTCATACTGGAAATATGTTTACAGTCAAGGGTGAAGTTTCTGGAGTGACAGTTTGTAACCTAGTTGCCTGCTAACATTACTTGATACTGTCCATGTTGAGGAAGAAAAGCTATTCTTGATACATTATTTTTTTATTTATATTATGTTATTATTTAAACTGAAAGAGGGTAGGTTTAGATTTCATGTAAGGAAGAAGTTCTTCACTGTGAGGGTGGTGAGACATTGGCACGGGTTGCCCAAAGAGGTTGTGGCTGCCCCCTCCCTGGCAGTGTTCAAGGCCAGGCTGGATGGGGCTTGGAGCAACCTGGTCTGGTGGAAGGTATCCCTGCCCGTGGCAGGGGGGTTGGAGCTAGGTGGTCTTTGATGTCCCTTCCAGCCCAAACCATTCTGTGGTCTATGATTCTATATCCAATGGTGATGTGGTGATTCTTTTTTTGTACAAGTCCTGCTTTTGTGCCTTAATGATAGCAAATACAGTTTTTTCTGGATTTCTGTCCAAAAGTCAGTTGAGATAATTCCTTTTCATTCAACTGAAAAGACAAAATATGTTTTGGAAGCTATTGAAGCGAAACAAAGACCACTTAGTGATGTTACAGTCATTTCCTTTAAGTAGACACTTGGTGTTACAGTTAAGCACGTTATAAATTATTATAATGCAGTATAATAACACATCACAGAAAAGGCTCTTTTTTTTTAATATCAAGCCTCTACTTAGGTAAAATGTTTGCTGTAGATTATTATTTTAAAACAAAATAAAATTATTTAGAATAGATGGTTTGTATTATTTAAAACTAGAAGAAAGTGATGTTGCATATTTAGAAAAATTTTAAAACATGGGGGTTTTGTTGGTTTTGGTTGGGTTTTTTTAAGAAGAGGTAGTGTTTTGTATGGCAAATAAAAATATTTTTTGTTTCAGTCATGGAGAAAATGGTGCATAGCTGCTCCCCAAAATCCTAGAAATAGAACTCCGTTATAAAGCACTAATGTTGTATTTCTTATTAAGTAGAGTATTATTAAGACTTAAGTGTGAACAATACCTTTCTTCAAGGCATTAAGCAAAAATTTGATATTTTTCGTGTGGGGACACAAAGCCTTGCACTGCAAGTCAAGATGATGTTTAGGAGTAAACCAAAGTCTTCCAGCTCCTGGTCTTCCTGAGCTTACTGTAAACTTCTTTTCAGAATTTGAATTAATTTGGGAATAGCGACCTAAAAAAGTTTGCTAAAGCATGGTTAATTAGGATTCAAGATAGTGGTTCTCAAATTACAGAGCTTATGCTTCAAGAAGTGGAGGAGGAATTCTGTTGTTGACTGAGGTTTGGTAGTAGATGTTTCCTGAGAAGGCCCTTTTATACCTGTGGTTCTCACAGAGTTTTAAAAGGAGTGGTCTCCTGAAGTCATGTCTCATGCTGAATTTACAAACTGGTAACTGGAGGATGCCAGCACAACTTGTTTCATTCTGAGGGGACAGAAGCCTGGGAGAGATGGGTTAACCTCCTGCTGTCTGGAAGCTGGAGAAGGACAGCAGCCAGCAGGTACTCTAGTCCCAGCTGTTTGCTGCTGACAGGTACAACGAACAGCTGGATGAAAACTGGGAACATCCTTCTCTTGCCCTTCTCACCAGCCTCCCTTTCAACCACAGGGTCATGACTTTGGTTTTTTTAAGGTTAAACCCTCTTCTGTTGAGAATTGTACTGGGGCCCTGCTAATCCAGGAGACAGAGGAGGTTAACAGCACTTCTGCACCACACGCTTTGTTCTGCATAGCAATGCATGAATCTGTTGATAAATAGGGAATGGAAGTTCTGTATGGGGCAGTATCCTTAAGCTGTTTTACCTTTATCTGTTTAAAAAAGGGAGGAGGGGCAGGAGAAGGAAAGAGAAACCTGCTGCCTTCTTCCTTTCTTTCCACACAGTGCTAAAAAGGCAACAAAAATCCAGCCCTTCCAGATTAGGTTATTAAACTCCCTTGTTTTGCATTGGAAATATAACAGTTTGGAATAGCTGCAAGCAGGTTTCAAATACTCGTCAAAAATTATTTAAGCACTAATGTTTACCAAGTAAGTCATCGTACTTGGATACTTTGGTCTGTCACTGGAAATTCAATGCCATGAAAAGAATTTTTAAAAATGCATCTGAATAGAACAAGTGGCTTGATTTTTATTCTATACACTGTTGAACAGCAGATTTAGTAATAGATTAGTTAAAATTGATTTGGTTTAAGTCTGTCAGCTAACAAATGGGTATTTTATAGTATAAATGTGCACAGTAGCATAAATGGGTGGGTTTCAATGTGGTTTTGCTTTGCTTTTTAAAACTACTCTAGGAATCACTGCCAGCTCAATGAATTAGAGCCTGAAAATAGTTTTGAAGTCTGCTTTTAAAAAATGAGATGGAGATGGTACTTTTAGGAAGCAAAAACGTGTCGTGAAGAAGGGAGCCTGGCATGTGTGTGTGCACAGGATCGCAGTGGCACTTCTTAAAGGTGTGTGTCATGTTTTCTCCCTGTAAGAGGTGTTGGTACAGGCTGTGAATAAGGACTTCAGGATTTTGCCTGTAAGAGAAAATCTACTGCTGTAACACTTAATACTAGAATGTCTGTCACCTACTGTACAGAATAATGGGATTATATCATTGCCTTACTTCTCTGGCAGTTTAGTATGTAACACTACGTTATATTTAGCACCAGAGGGAGCCAACAGTGTATTGGTTTGGAAAATTACGGCATCACATTTTAATTCTTTTTGTTGCTCCTCTGTTCAGTATGTTCACAACACTGAAATTACAGTGTTTGGGACAATTGTGAATTCCTCTTGAGACCAGCCAGCCACGGTAGATGTCTCTAGTGTGGTCCTGGCACTGTTTTGGCAGGGACTGCATACAGGGGGTACATGAATAAATGCCAAATATCTGAACATATGACATAAGCTCCTGAGAATAACACTGTGCATGCAATGTTCTCTTCCAGACAGCTTAAGGGCATTTGAACAGCTTTTTAAGGAAAGGTAGATATAGAAGTACAATTTTAGTGAATAGCTGTCATTCCTCAGGGCATAATAACACTTATATTCTTAAAACAGTTGCTAAATCATTAGCTTTCCATCCATAGCTAACTGACGCTTAGATGTTTTCACTGGGACATGAGAATTAGATTTTCTTTGCCTTGTGTCAAATTGTCCTGACTTCAGTAGCTGACATCAAACTGTATGTGCTCTGATAGTGCTCATGTTACTGCTAGTGTGAAGCTGTAATTCTCTTAATTTGGGGTGGTCTGTTAAGATCTGCAGCATTAACATATCCACTTGAATCATAATTTGATGTAATTTTCAAGGAAGCTT